ATTTTTTCTTTAGTATGTTAAGATGCCTGACAGTCAATCTTAGTGTGAGAAATTAGCTCTGGAATCAGCCTGAAGATGCTTCCAGGAGTGATGAACAGATGAAGGGTAAGAGTTTGTACCTTCCTACAAGAGGCAGATAATGCCATGAAGTCACCAAAACAAAAGATTTCTAAGCCTCTGTAAGAACATGTCATGTTTCTTAATGAATTAATATGAACGTTCAGTTGGGCTGAGGGCATACCGTGCCGCCCCGATGAGTCTGCCTGGATTCCTTTCTCTTTCTTTACAAGAGAGGGAGCTTGGAAAGGAGAGTGGAGGGTTTAAGCTCATGTAAGGCTGTTAGTTTCTCCCTTGCTTCCACATGCACTCACACTGGCCCAGAAAGGACTTTTTTTTTTTTTTTTTTTTTTTTTTTTGGCTGGGTGACCAAAGTAGGAAATAACATGGTCAGATATGCATTCTTAGTAGACCCCACTTCCTTTGGCACAGGATGCCCTCTGCTGTGCTGTCTCAGAGGGTGGCCAAGACCTATAGGTGTGGGCCAGCTCTGCCCTGTGGCCTGTTCCACTCCACCATCTGCGCAGCATTCAAAGTCCAAACCCCCAAATACTGTACCCAGCAGTCTACCCCAAAGTGTTCTTATCTGCTGTGAGAGCTTACTTAACTAGTCTTAACTTCCATGCTTTAAAGTATTTAGCTCATTTCAGTACTCTGTGAAGTTTGGATTGTTGACCTCTGGTGGCTAGTTTTTATTGTTAATTACTTGTAAAAAGTGACTATTGTACTTTGTATACAATGCACTGGGATTTACATTCACCCCCCTCCTTCTTACCCTCCAGCTGATCCTCTTCTTCCCACCTATTCCCATCCTACCCTTCTTTCTTCCCTTTTCTCCCCTCATTTCCTTCTTATTTTAGGGGAGAGGGTGGGGGGCCAAACAGGCAGTCACAGCTTCTGTGTCTTCATTGCATCGGCCATGTGATATTGTCAGTGTTCTGCTGCACTTCTCCTTACCCATTAGTTTCCAGAGTCTTTTTTTTCCATCTTCTTTCTTGATGTTCTCTGGGACTGGGAGGGGTTGACATAGATGTTCCATTTGGGACCAAGCACTCAGCAGTTATGTATTCTCATCACGCTGACCATCATCCATTGCCCAAACAAGCGTCTGTGCTCAAGGTTGAGTGTTGCATTGTGTATTAGTGTAAATAGAGGGAAGGCAGTTCAACTACATTTCCATTTGGAAAACATAAGCAGTGGATTCCCCCACGTATCCTGTGACCTCCTAGCCTCAGGCTTTTGAGCAATTCTGCAGTGCTAGGCGTATATTCCCTCCCTAAAATGGGCTTCAGATCTGATCAGGAAGCAGTTGGTTAACCTAGGACATTAATGCCACTATTGTACCAGGAGGCATATCTTTCCAGGCAGGAGCACAAAGTGTCTACGGCTGAATGTGATTGTTGAGGGTCCCCCCCCCCCCCATGGCCTATCTAATGCCTTCCAGGACATTGAACGCTAGCTAGTGCAGAGAGCTGCCAGCTTATTTTGCAATTTGATTCTTTGTGTTTTGTATCCAGAGCATGTGGTATCTTCAGCAGTAGGGTCAACCAGCAACTAGCTTGGTTGACAGTCAAATGGTACAGCCCTTTATTGCTTTGGTAGCCTCTTGGGTTTACCTGGCCAATAGCTCATAAAGTGGTATCCTGCACCTGGCAATGGAATTTGGCTTTTAAAACCTATGGCTTGGGGTTGTATTGTTGGTATTTCTTAATAGAGGAGTAAACAAAGGTTCAAAACCTTTTAAACTTTTTTTTTCCTCTCAAGTGACTTACGTAATCACATGGCGGGCTGCATTACTCTGAAGCCCACATTGTTCTAAACTCTTGAGTACCTTCTAGTTTTAGTGGGCTGGCCTGAAAATTAACTTTATGTTATTAAAGAAGACGGGCTCCTTTTCACCATAGTCTCTTAGCTCTGAAGAACTTCGTTACTGAAACATCTTGTGCTGAATGGTGTGCAAGGCCCAGGTTTTGTCAGCCACTCAAAGACAGCGAACACAAGGAAAGCTGGAAAATGTCAGAAATAGGCCGGTTCACTAGGACTCGTGTGGACGGATTTATCTTTCCCAGAACTAACCAATCTTCTGCCTGTCAGCCTTCTGCAGCACCGTTTAAGTTTTAATTATCTTCAGACTGCACTGCCGTGTTGAGGACCTCTGAGAGAACAAAGTGTAGCACTATACTCTGTAACACCAGTCCTCACTGCACACTGATGGAGCCCTCGCTGCCCCTGCCCTTGTTACCACACACCACAGAGACAGTGCTGAAGGGAAGGGTCAAGCTTTACCTGTTTGCTCTCCGGGATTTCTTGTAGCAGAAGAGTGATATCCACCTCTTGCTTAAATATTAGGATCATTTTGTTTTGCTTTTCAAAGGTAGTTTTAAAAACAAAACAAAAAATGTACTCCATCTCAACCCTTTCTCTTGGGTTTTCTGTTATAGCTTCTCATTTGCCTTGGGGTGCTCCACTCTGAGCTCTGGTAAGGAGTCTGTGATCAGGGAAGGTTCCTCCTCAGTTGTTGCTTAAGGATCTCTAAGTAAGACAGGTCTCTGAATTCTTAGTGTAGGCCTCCAGGCTGTCAGCAGTCATCAAAGCCTGGCTGTTTGTTTTGAACCATGTGCTATTTCTAGCCTGGCCCTTAAGTGCAGGAGAGAAGGAGCCTGGCTTCTTTCTTCTGGTGTTCTGTTTCTTGAAGTGCGGGCTTGGGTAAGGACATCAAGCATTGCTGTAAGTTATGCTTGTTCAGGCTTTGAAAGTGGGTGGAGCTAGGGTGATGGGGCTTATGGGTATGCTGTGTAGCCAGCAAGTGATATAAAGTGGTGAATGGCTCATTTGACCTCAGGACTATGGGCAGAGATAACACTGTCTTCATTTATGTGGGCTTTTGATCTGGAGACATTTCTCTGTGTTCTTCTGATCGTATCTATTATTTTGTTTTTGTCACAAACAGTGTCATTAAAATTGTGCAGTGTATTCCACTACAACTGTTTGTTTTCAGTTGCTTATAACTGGGTCAAGGGAAGGAAAGGTTGTGTGGTTTTGTCTATTCTTGCCATTTACTCCAGGGTAAAATAACTATAATCTAGACTTAAAAGCTTGGCTTCATATTTAAAAAGGCGAAGTAGGACCTGCTTAACATCTACGTAAGCACTGCTGAGGGGAAAGGCCCTGTTAGCCACCCTTGGCTCTGACTCTTACCCTACACAGTAGGAGAGCTTGTTCTTCGATGGTAACTTGACCTTGAGAACAAAATATGATCAGATTCCACCAAACTGCCTGCTCTAAGGTTGCAGACAGAAGCACTCAGGATGCCTTGGCCATATGCGGTTGAAAGTGCTATGCTAGTTGAGTTCCTGTGGTTACAGGAAATGACCAAAATTAGACATAGGCCAAGGTGCCAGGTTTAGTACACCCCTTCCCTTCCAGAAAGCATCAGGGAGACTGTCGCTGACATCAGTGGATGACAACACAATCTATACTCCTCAGACTTTAAATGAACTCCCTGGCAAAACCAAAAGAAAACCTAATTATTTCAGCCCTCTTTGTCTGATGTGAAAATCAAAGAAAGCTTCCTTGAGCCTGCAGGGTCTTGGTAAGAGGAGTCCTGGTAAGGGAAGAATGGTGTCACCCTGCAGGAAGTCTAAGCAGTCTGAGTAGCTGGTCCAGGAGACCCCATTAATATGGGTTATGAAGATGAGTGATCAGCTCATGTCAAGGAGCAGATGGCTGAATGAGGTGCACAGGGAATGCCATGAGGCTCAGGCTGGAAGAAACAGAAGAAGATAGGCTGTAATGCAGAGGCCCTAAATATAGTCCCCTTAGTGTGAATGTTCCAAATAGTCTTTTACATTGTACAGCTAATTTGGAGTGGTGAGAAATGATAGAAAATTATGGAATTAGGGAACAGTGATTAACTCAGAAGTAAAATATATTATCTAAATCGAAGGTTGTTGTACATGCGGGGGAGGGTTTTACTGAAACCTTGCCCAGCCTGTCATTTCCTAATTGAAATCTGTTCTCATATGCTCCTGGCCCCCAGAGTGCATAGTTCATAATTTGGAAGAGCATTCTTCGTTAATCTAGTTATTTCTCGTGGTTTTTCCTTTGGATTCTAGTAAGGTAGTGTGGGGCACATTTCCTTTTTAATTGTGTGACACTCAGAAGACTGAGTTTGTGTCTTCATTAACCTGTGAACTATCAGCCCTTTTCGAGCTAAGGGGAGCAATTCACTCCAAGGTTTAATGCTTGTTTGTCCGAGATGAAGCCTCTAGGGAAACGGACAGGGTGAACAGGCCAAGACACTCCAGACCTGCCCAGTGAAACTCCACACCGTGAGCAGATGGCAGAGCCGTGTGGCCCAGAGGGAGGCTGTCAAGCGGGCTGGGTCCTCTGTACAGACAAGGCTCCCCAGCAGTCAGGTGGGGGGCTGTCGTAAGTATATAGGCTTAACTTCCTAGCTGGGACTTAGGAGCAACACGAAAGTAAAAGACACCCGTAGTGGTTCTCATTAGTTTACGTGCATGTTTCCTTTCGGACAGGGAAGCAGTATTGATTTCCTGCATTTGTCTGCAATGGATGCAAGCTCTTGGAGCTGAAAGCATTTGATTTTGCCTGTAGGTTTGCACTGTACCCAGGTATACGCTTAGCCATGATGCAAAGTAGAAGCTGGTTGTTATTCTCCAGGGTAAATGTCTCATGGATTTACATTTGTTCTGACGTACAAGGGTTGAAATAAATAGTACCTGGTGTGATTTCTAGGTACATCAAATCCGAGTTTTGCTTTGTTCCCCATGAAATGGCATGGCCATGAGCTGGCCTGGGAGGTTGGCTTGAGGACTTTCAAGGTCCCCTTTACTCCATGTCTGGCTCAGTGTGCCTACCCTGCTTTTCCCTTGGCTGTTGCAGAGCTTCTTTCAACAGATGTACTTTCTTTTCATCCTCAGGTATATTCGAATAGTTGGGACTCACAACACAGTGAACAAGATTTTCCACATTGTGGCTTTTGAATGTATGTTTACAAACAAAACCTTCACTCTGGAGAAGGGCCTGATAGGTAAGTGTTACAATGACATTTTTGCATATATGCTTAGATACTTTGCCCTCAAGTATTTTCTTATTCTAATAGTTTCTCCTCTTCAGCTCTGGTTAAGGACTTTAGCTGATTTTTGAATGCCATGTGGCTGAGAAAATAACCTTTATTTGTAGAAGAATTCAAAATAATGAGCTCAGTAAACTTAAACAAAATGAATATGAATATTGTGCTATAGAAGAATTGGAAGCACCGAGGGTATTTCTCAGATCTGCAGAGTAGAAATGTTCTTGGTAGCCAAGCAAAGGCTTTTCTGTATTTAATGATAGGTGAGACTGGGGAGGATGTGGTTGGTCATAATTTCCAAGGCTATGAAGGCATGTTGGATTTGATTTGATATGAATGGTATTTGTAGCTGTGGGAATGTTTTCATAGACATGTCAGTCTGAATTCACTCTGCTTAGCCAAATTACCGTCAAGAAAGTTCCAGTCTATCATTTGAGTAAGACTGGAATGCTGAAGTCCATTGAGCAGTGGGAGCCGCCTGGCTAGTGTTGCCCAAGGGTGTTTTCAGCTCTGGGCTAGTTTGCTTGTTCTCTCTTGGGTCAGCCTGGGGCTTTGTTTTGGGCATTGGTAGCCCATTGCTTACAGTCTGTCCCTGGCCTGGGCGTTAGCATATCAAAAGTGACTTTTCCCTTCCAGACAGCTTGCTTCTCTTTTCCCCATGCCCTTGGGTATTTCCCCCCTCTTGTATAGCTAGGTACATGAGATCTTTGAATATGTGCCTTTACTGCAGGTTTTCTTTGAAAAATAACTCAATGAATGTTGACCTATGCTTATGCCTAGCCTTACCTAAAATAGGGTTCTGTGCCTTTGAAAGAGGATTTTGTTCTCTTGTCCATGATGGGACACTTGTCCACAGTGACACAAGCCTGTAAGTATGGCAGTAACAGTAACAAGAAAGAGGAGTACAACTTACAATGATGTTTGAGTGGTAGGGGCCTAAAATTGCCCACACCTGCTCTGTTTCCCTTATAGCTTACAGAAATGTCAAGACTGGAATTTTTTTTTATTGAGAAGAGCACTTTTAAAACTCAACCAAAATAATCATTTTATTTTCACATTGATTTAATTTTAAAAATAGAGTATTAGTGCTGTTTTTTTGTGACTTTAGGTAATTTGAAAGTTAGCAAATATGAAGCACTGTGTGGTATCATTGTCTTCTAATTCTGTGTGGTGTGTAGATGGATGGCTGCCTCACTGCATTCAGAAAAGGCCTACTGAGGAAGATCTGAGAAACTAAGAGCATGCAGAGTCACAGCCCATGTAGCTTCATGTTAGCCCCAAGGACTGTAGTTTTACACATGTTGCGTCCATGTAAATCAGTCCTCTTCATACTGAAGGAAGAAGTTTGTGGATGCTGTAGTTACCTAAGAAACAGGTCCGTCTGGTAGAGAGGCCATTAAAAGAACAAAACTCAGTGTCTGTTGTGGTAAAGCATGTATTCTTTGCATGTGTAGTCAAAGCGGATCCTGTCAGCTTTATCCAAGGATAATAATAGTCTTGGGCATATCAGATGATGGGAGATCGCAAATGCACGAAGTTGTTTTGGTGTCTGGTCAGATACATCAAGCCCATCTCTGTAAGGTTTACAAGTGTGAATGCGGAGAACACTGCAGTCCCCTGCCTGTCATTGTCCCTCAACCAAACAGCAGCAGTGTGGGTTGGTGGCTATGTATATGCACTTACCAGCAGATTACCTACAGTGGTGGGATCTACTCTGGACCTCCTGGGGCTCATTGTTACAGTTCAGGACTGCCCAGATTGGGCAGAGCGTGGTGTTAGTGTGAAGGAGCACAGGGACCTCAGTACCCTGAGTCTGACCTGCAGCTTTGCTTCTCTTGCGGGGGTGTTTGAAACAGTAGTGGACAGGTTTCCATGTTGATTACATCAGAAGCATTTTAGCAGCACGCAGCCTTAGCCTGCCATCCTGCTGAGACCACCCGAGAAAGGAGTAGACACTGCTGGGGCCCAGGTGGCTCAGGTGTACCTAGAGGTGAATTCTTTTAGATGAAACCTCCTGGAGACAATTGGCTAAACCTGAGATTGCCATGGCTGGGAAGAATAGGAAAACAACAAAGTCACTGTGAATAGCTAATAGAATGTCAATGCCTCCTCTTGTTTGTAGATTCGTAGATTCTTTCGTGGTTCTCAGTCTTCCTTTTATAGTTCAGGGTCTTCTAACTATCCTTCTATAGGCCTTAAAAATGACTTTAAAACGTTTGTGTTTTTTAGAATCAGACTTTAATGTTAAAACATGTAACGATGTGGAAAGTAACATGCAGCAAAGGTGACGGTGCAAACTCTGAGCACTTTAGTCTTTTCCCACCAAGGAGTTTCTTTTCTTTTTGTTTTTGTTTGTTTTGTTTGATTTTGTTTTGGGTGTTGTTTTGTTTTGTATTGTAGATGCTCAAACTCATTATCCCCTTATCTCTGTGTCTCAAATGCTGGGATTATAGGCATATGGCACCCTCCCTTCCCCCCTTCTGATCACAAAGTACCCCCTCATGATGCTGCTTCAGTGCACAGCTTAGTGGGAAAGCCTCCACTTTGATCAGGTTCCTCTGTCCCTGGGAATGTCCCTAGCTGGATCATACTGTCACTGCTGCTGCCGCCACAGCCCTGTCTCACCCAGTGACTGCCTGTGGATGTTGCTGGAATGCGTTCTCTCCTGGCAGAACGGCTCTATGATAACTGTCACCTCCACGTTAGGAAGAGACGCAGGAAATCCTAACATGGCTTACTAGTGAGACACAGAAGGAATAATTAAAACAGATGCAACTACCGTTTCCCAAGTTCCCTAAAAATGGGCTTGGGTTTGCTTGGTCCATGTAGTCATATCCTCAGTGTAGTGACATTGATGGCATTCTCTCTTTCTCTGCCCTACAGCCTTATTTGTACCTTACATTAGCATTTGGGGACAGGTGAACAAGCCTAGCATTTTGGAGCTGCCTTAGCTGGACAAGGGGGATAATTGAAATTCCTGTTACCAGTATGAACTGAAGGAATATTAAGTATGTTTACATGAGTGCTTGCTTGCTTAATTACATTCTTTCTTGCAGGAATTTTATGAAAATGTCACATACCATCTATAGGTAGCCATCAAAAACATCCTATTTCCTGATAGACCAAGGCATATAAACATTAAAGCAAAAGAGGATATGAAGTTTATATTAAAAGTCAAAGCAAGGGTAACAATTTAAAGAGATATAATCCAAGTTTATAAAAGGGCAATAAATTAAGATTTATAAAAGTTCTTCTTAGCCAGACATTGTGGCACATGCCTGTACTCCCAGCACTAGGGAGGCAGAGGCATGCAGATTTTTATGAGTTTGAGGCCAGTCTGGTCTGCAAGGTGAGTTCAGGGCAGCCAAGCTAAATGGAGAAACCCTGCCTCAAAAAACAAACAAACGAACGAACAAAAAAGGTCTTGTTGTAGTTGTAGGTCTTAAGTAAGACCCCCTAAATTGTGTTTTCCAATAAGAACATCTAATATATAATTAGATATTCTAAGTTGCTAACAAGCAACAGTCAGAAATGGCATGTAGACCATCATGTAAACTCAACGCTGTCATGAGCACAAGCTAGAAAAACACAACACAGTCACACAGCTACATTAAATCAGAGCCGGAGTACACTCCTCACAAAAACAAGGAGGCAGCTTCATCTCTTTGCCTTTGAGGTGTAAGAGATCCGGTGAAAGGTGAACATGTCAAAGAGTGAAGCCTGTTGTACAGACTTAGCCTAATATTTTTCCATTTTTTAAGAGTAATTGGTAGAGCCAGGATATGCTCTTAAAAATGGGCATTTTTAATGAAATTCAGAAAACCTGCTTTGTTGATGAGTAAGGTTATGGAAAACTCATTAGCAAATCCCAGAGAATCCTGAAATTTATACTCTTTAGTTCTATTGCCTAGGACTTTTAGTTTACTGTTGTTTTTTTTTTTTCATAGATAACAATTGTTCACCATTAAAAACTACTTGTAGGTTAGATTTCCAGAACTGTCAAACATAAGACTAGCCTGACTACCAAATACTTTCTCCTTCCTTGAGTTTCAATTTCCCATTTTAAGTGTCTTTTTTTTTTTTTTTTCCCAAAAAATTGCAACCTTCTATAATAGCTGGTAGGGTGGTATGTGTTTTGAATCAAATTTTTGCTGCACTAATGGGAATACTTAACTCAAGGTCAGCCCCTCTTACCGTGTCTCAAGTTTGTCCTGTATGTTAACAGAGATGTGAGAGGCTCACGCAGTGGATGGATACCCTTCTTGTGAGGGTATCCTTTCATGGAAAGCCTGTAAAACTTAGCACACTTTGGAGTTGAAAGCAATGGGCTATGATTCAGGGAAGCCACCATATCTCCTGAGGAGTCTCCTCTGACTTCTTCACCCTATTGGAGTCTGTATGTTCAGGCAGCCCTAGAATTTCAAACGTGAAAGAAGCCAGGTTGCATAAGAAGCCATGGAACTAGACACTGGAGAAGGCAGCAAAGGGCTGGGTGCTAGTGACCGAATGTTTTGACCAAACGTTCTGGACCCAATGAGGAAAAAGCCAACAAGCAGCTCAGACTCAACCCAGCAGACCGTGGTCGGAACCAAGGGATCTGAGCCCCAGAAATAACTTATAGCACCCACTGAAGAAGACAGTACAAACAGTGGGACAAAGGGCAAGGTGACATCTTGAGTGAGAGTGGCTCATGCTTAGGCCCATATTTGACTTTGAAGTACAACACAAGCCAGGTCTCAGCTCGGATAGATTAAGACTGTTTATTCTGAGCCTGGTGTGAGTGACTGTGCCCTAGTGAGGTGTTCCAACATAGACATGTTAACATGAACTCTTGTAGCCAGGGAACAAAAGAAAGTTGTAAAGTGTTTGACAGATGCACTGAGCAGTGGAGGTGGGTCACAGCAAAGCCAGGAGAGCTCTGTTGTAGCCTTGAGATGCTGTATGGTAGCGCACTTCAC